ACCCGCAGGCTCAGGCAATTCACTCACCTCAGCCTCCCAAAGGCGCGGGATTACAGGCTGTACGACTGAGCCCGGCTGAGGCTAATTTTTAAAACTTTAAAAAATATATATATTTAGAGATGGGCCTCAGTATGTTCAGCCCAGGCTGGTCTCAAACTCCTTACTACAAACAATCCTCCCACCTTAGCTTCTCAAGTAGTTGGCATTGTAGGTGTGAGCTACCATACCTGGCTCAAAAAATCTTTAGGGTGAAAAGGTCTTAAATAAATATTCAGATCTTCTCCTGAGGAACAATATATCACCAATTGAAAATAATGGTTCTATATTCCTGTAGATTATAGAAAATTCTAGAACTGTGCTGTACAATGACAGCAGCCACTAGCCACACTGAGCACTTGAAATGTGGCAGTCCAAACTGAGATGTGCTGTAAGTGTAAAATATACACTGGATTTCAAATGCTTATTATTTTAAAAAAATTGAAATGTTGAGGTGATAATATTTTATATTAAACAAAAAACATTAAAACAATTTTGTTTCTTTTTATACTTTTAAAAAATGTGAGCACTCTGGGAGGCAGACGCCGGAGGACTGCTTGAGCCCAGGAGTTTGAGAACAGCCTAGACAACATAGCAGGACCTCATCTCCACAAAAAGTCAAATGTGTAGCTGGGCATGGTGGCGTACATCTGTAGTCCCAGCTACTCGGGAAGCTGAGGTAAAAGGATTCCCCGAGCGCAACAGGTCAAGGCTACAGTGAGCCATGATCATGCCACTCACTGCACTCCAGCTTGGGAGACAGGGGAAGACTACATACAACTCAAAAAAAAAAAAAATGTGGCTACCAAAAAGTTTTAAATTACACATGTAGCTCACATTATTATTTCTATTTAACAAAGCTGCTCTAAAATAAAAATCTTAACAAGAGGATTGAAACATAATTGAAACTTTATAAAGTTATCAAAATAAACTTTGGAAGGTAAAACAGAAGATATAGACCATTGTAAGAGACTAGAGTCAGCCGGGCTCGGTGGTTCAGTCTGTAATCCTGCGCCTTTGGGAGGCTGAGGTGAGTGGATTGCCTGAGCCCGCGGGTTGGGTCCCATCTTTCTTGTCCTTTCGTACTGGGAAAGATAGTAAATAGATAGAAACCGACCTGGATTGCTCCAATCTGAACTCAGATCACGTAGGATTTTAATCGTTGAATAAACGAACCGTTAATAGCGGTTGCACCATTGAGATATCCTGATCCAACATCAAGGTCGTAAACCCTATTGTCGATATGGACTCTATAATAGGATTGTGCTGTTATCCCTAGGGTAACTTGTTCCGTTACTCAAATTAAGTTTGGGTCAATAAATGATTTTTGCTTAGATTGGTAAAGTCTTGGGTATAATTCATTGGCTAAAGTTCTCTTTGTGAAATTGTTCTAGCTAATTCATTATGCAAAAGGTAAAAGTGGGGATCTTTGCTTTTTTGTACTTTAAGGTGTCTTTCATCTTTCCCTTACGGTACTTTATCTATAGCGCCTATATAAATTTCTATCTCCTATACTTTTAGGTTGAGTAAATGTTTTGGTTTACAGGGTTTAATATAAGTTAGTTGATGTAGTTTGGGCTACGGTTAGGTTCAAAGTGGTCATTTGTGAAATCTTCCGGGTGTAAGCCAGGTGCTTTAAGGTTTAAGCTACACTTTGTCTATTCCAAGCACACTTTCCAGTATGCTTACCTTGTTACGACTTATCTCATCTTATGCATTATGATTTATTTTATGTAGTTGTTGTATAGATTGCATTTGAGGAGGGTGACAGGCGGTGTGTGCCTGGGCAGCAAGACCTCGTCTCTACAATAAATCAAAAAATCAGCCGGGCGTGGTAGTGCGTGCCTGTAATTCCAGCTACTCAGAAGGCTGAGGCGGAAGGATTGTCGGAGCCCAGCAGGCGAGGCTGCGGTGGCCGGGAGCGGCCACTGCACTCCAGTCTGGGCAACCAAGTGAGACTCCAACTCAAAAAAAAAAAAAAAAAAAAAGACTAGAGTCCTAGCTCCCTACTAACTTTAAACATTACATTTCCTAAAGAAGAGGAACAATGACATACAATGAACTTACAGGCACTTTTCAAATTCTGGCAGAACAGTTCCTAATTGCATCCGCCGGCGAGTTACATCAAATGGGTAGCTAAAAAAAGAAAAAGGCATAAAGACTTAAAAATAAGTTTTAGTTTGCTACTAAACAACTATTGAATACAAAGCCCTATATATGTTAGGATATACAGTGCTCTGTGCCTGTAATCCCAGCTATTAGCGAGGCTGAACTGAAAGGATCACCTGAGCCTAGGAGGTCAAGGCTGCAGTAAGCGCTGAGTATGCTGCTGCACTCCAGCCTGGGTGACAGAGTGAGGTCTCGACTCAAAAAAAAAAAAAGTTGCTGGGCTCGGTGGCTCAGCCTGTAATCCCGCGCTTTGGGAGGCTGAGGTGAGTGGACTGCCTGAGTCTGTGGGTTCGAGACCCGCCTGGGAAACTTGGCAAGACCTCATCTCTACAATAAATCAAAAAATTAGCCGGGCGTGGTAGCACGCGCCTGTAGTTCCAGCTACTTGGAAAGTGAGGTGGAAGGAGCCCCAGAGCCCAACAGGTCAAGGCTGCGGTGGCCGGGAGCGGCCACTGCACTCCAATCTGGGTGACAGAGTGAGACTCCAACTCAAAAAAAGTAATGCAAGAGAAATGATCTCCTCCTAACAACACACACAGACTAAATAGCTCCAACTTTACAAACTTTCATTTAGGAAAATTCATGAGAAAGCATCATAGATGAAGATTATATTTATTGTTTCTTTTTCTCTTTCCATATGATATTGAAAGGATTCAGTTTATTTAGTTACTATTTTTTGAGTTGGAGTCTCACTCCGTCACCCAGGCTGGAATGTAGTGGCATGTTCACAACCCAGTTTTTATTTATTATAGAGATGAGGTCTCACCAAGTTGCCCGGGCTGGTCTCAAACCCGCGAGCTCAGGCAATCCACTCGTCTCGGCCTCCCAAACTGCTGGGATTATAGGCTGAGCCACTGAGCCCGGCCAGGATTCAGTTTAATCTGACACATTATTTCCTTCCTCCCTCCCTCCCTCCCTTCCTACAGGGTCTCACTATGTTGCCTTGGCTGGCCAAGAATTCCTGGGCTCAAGTGATCCTATCACCATAGCCTCCTGAGTAGTTGGGACTACAGGTAGTGTCACCATTTCCAAACAAGTAATGATTTATAATATGTTTAAAGTACAGGCACATATGAAAAAAATTGGTTAAATTAATATTTCTATTTCACAAGGAATTCTATATTTGAATAATTTATTAGAAAAAAATAAAATAATTAACCAAAGCTAAAAATCAGGATTAGATAACTGTAATTTGAATTAAGCTGATGAAGAAACTTACGATATTGTCTGTGCTATTGCTCCAGCAACACCACCACAAAGCAAGTTTATGTGAGTTTTCAAAACTAAGACATTAGGATTGTCTGATGAAGGTCTGCCAAGAAGGGTAGGAGCATGGGAAAGCCCAACACTCTTTAAGGTTCCAAAAGTAAAAAATGAAACACCTGAAAACAAAATATAAATTCACCATGATGTTTAACTGAATGTGAGATGTGAAAATGACATTATTCTTACATAATAACCACATTTTCCTATTTCTGAAGTTTGTTTAACAGAATGTGAGATGTGAAAATGACATTATTCTTACATAATAACCACATTTTCCTATTTCTGAAGTTTGGCTTAAGAAAAAAGGATTTAATTAATGTTTACAAATAACCTCAAGATGACAAAAACTGTCACCTGTGAAAAATTATAGCATTGGTTTTCACACACCATCACAGTTCAGCGTAATGAACAAGGCTTTGGTGAATATAATGCTACCTTATATATGAAACAATTAAACAGTTTTTCAAGGTTTTACATGCAAAAATTAAATTCATGATTATGAATTACAAGTAAATATGACAACTTACATTTATAATGAAAATGATGGTGATAATGTAACACAGAGGCCAAAATTCAAAAGTGACAAAGCATTGTTTTTTGTTTTTTGTTTTGTTTTGTTTTGACTTGGAGTCTCACTCTGTCGCCCAGACTGGAGTGCAGTGGCACACTCCTGGCCACTGCAGTCTTGACCTGCTGGGCTCCGGCAATCCTTCCGCCTCAGCCTTCCAAGTAGTTGGAACTACAGGTGCGCACTACCATGCCCGGCTCATTTTTTAATTTATTGTAGAGATGAGATCTCGCCAAGTTGCCCAGGTGGGTCTCGAACCCACAGGCTCACGCAAATCCACTCACCTCAGCCTCCCAAAGCACGGGATTACAGGCTGAGCCACCAAGCCCAGCTTGTTTTGTTTTTTGAGTCAGAGTCTCATTCTGTTGCCCGGGCTGGAGTGCAGTTGGAGCCTCAATCTGCTAGGCTCAAATGATCCTTCCACCTCAGCCTTCCAAATAGCTGGAACTTCCAAAAAGTATGCCACCACACCCAGTTAATTTTTGGATTTATTGTAGAGATGATGCCTTGCCAAGTCAAATTCTTGGGTTCAGGCAATTCTCTCACCTCCACCTCCCAAAGTGCTGAGATTACAGGCATGAACCACCACACCAGCCATTGTTATTTTTACTCAATGTCTAATTTAGTATTCAAGGAAGAATTGTGACCATTAGAGAAATGTTCATATTGACTCACAAGGCATGCAGACTCTAACAGATATAATTTGCAGGTAATGCCTACTAAACTAAATTCAAATATAAATAAAATCAAGAAAGAAATTCAAGCATTCCTCTACTTAAGGATTACTCAAGATATCATGATATTCATTAACTTAAAAACACATTTGGCTGGGCACGGTGGCTAATGCTTATAATACCAGCACTTCGGGTGGCCAAGGCGGGAGGATCGCTTGAGCCCAGGAATTCGAGACCAGTCTAGGCAACATACTGAGAACTTGTCTCTAAAAAATATAAAAGTAAAAATAAAAAATAATAAAAATTAAAAAATAAAAACACATTTTAAAAGATACTTGATGCTTAAGAACAAATAAGTACTAACAAATATTTAGTCTTGGATACTACCTCAATACATACATTTATTATTTATACAAAACTATTAATTTTTTTTGTTTTGTTTGTGTTAGAGTCTCACTCTGTTGCCCAGACTGGAGTACAATGGCATGCTCACGGCCACGGTAGCCTCAACCTGCTGGGCTCAGGGGGACCTTCCACTTCAGCCTTCCCGGTAGCTAGAACTACAGGCAAACGCCACCAGGCCCAGCTAATTTTTTTTTTTTAAGTTATTGTAGAGATGAGGTCTTGCCAAGTTGCCTGGGCTGGTCTCAAACCCATGGGCTCAGGCAATTCTCTCACCTCAGACTCCCAAAGTGCTGGGATTATAGGCGTGAGCCACCACGCCAGCCTACAAAATTCTTATAATCTTATAGTATAGTATAATTTTTTTCATAAGCGGGCAGGGAGACAGGGTTTCACTGTGTTACCCTGTCTGGACTTGAATCCCTGGCCTCAAAGTGATCCTTCTGCCTCAGATTAACTAAGACTACAGGTGCAGGAACCACACTCAGAAGATGTACAATTTTAGAATATTCATATACTTTTACACTTGGGGAATTTAATCTAAACAATCTTAATTACACAGAAAGTTTATGACAAACAAATTCATAGCAAATTAAACATATGTAGAAAAAAATTAGAAATAACCAAATGATCTGGGATGACAGTCAGTATAATATGACACAATTAATAAAAATGATGTTTGTGAAGAGTGTTTTCAAGATGAGAAAAATATTTGAAAATGGGGAAAAATTAAGAAATGAAATTGTATATGAACTATAACTATATGAAAATATATTTTAAAAGCTGAAAACTAAAAGCAAAAACTAAAAGAAAATAGCCGGGCTCAGTGGCTCAGGCTGTAATCCCGCGCCTTGGGAGGCCTCAGCCTCCCAAGTGAGTGGATTGCCTGAGCCCGCCGG